GCTAGATTGATTTATTTTTAAGTTTTTCTTAGTTTCAGCTTGGAGTATCAGGGATGTTGGTTAGAGCAATTGGCTATTAAAGAATCCAGAGGGGAAAACTAAACCAATCTTCTTTTTTTGTGTGTGTGTGTCTTGGCTTGATTTTTGTGTTTATTTTTTATGAGCAGTTAGTATCTGACTTGATAAACCCAGCAGTCTGAGTGCTCCCATTTTTGAGAATCATTCTGGAAGTACAGCTCCGACCACAGCCACCAGCAGAGGAATATTTACCATCTGAAAAGAATCTCAACATTTAAATATATCAGTGATTAGAGAAAAATGGAACAAAAAGTGATGACAAATGTGGACAATGAAAATTTTTCAGTTGTATGAAAGTCCAGCAACAAAGTAATACTGTAAAGTAAAAACAACTTCACAATACTAAGATTTTAATGTTTTAACTGGTTAAAAAAAAAATCCATGAAGCTAAACAATGCTGCTCATTTGTACGATTTTATTTTTTGACTCTTCAGAATAAAGTCGTAATCGGTGAATGTAAATGAAAAATGTTTTGCCTCTTCAGTGCAGCCTAAAAGAGACCATGTCCTGTACGTCACCTTCCCTAAAGAATGGAAGACGAGTGACCTGTACCAGCTTTTCAGTGCCTTTGGTAAGTTACGGCGCGTGTTAATTTGGCTGCAGACAAACATCGCCCACTGTTTGTGACTCTCATTCTGTGATCCGCTCAGGTAACATCCAGGTGTCATGGATAGATGACACGTCGGCTTTTGTGTCCCTCAGTCAGACAGAGCAGGTGCAGATAGGTGAGTCCAGTTGAATACGCACGTCCGACTGGAGAAATGAGTACATGTTGGATACAATTAATATATAACGCCTGTTTAAACAGCTATGAACACCAGCCGCTATGCAGAGAGCTACAGGATCCAGACGTATGCAGAGTACATTCAGGGTAAGCATCAGGACAAGGAAAAGCCTGGCCAGACAACCAAAACCTGGGGTGAGGACGGCTGGGTGAAACCTCACCACTACTCTACTTCTGCTGGGTTTGGATACCCCAGGTATGCCTGTGCTGCTTCCCCACATCACATTGTGTATACGTGTGTCGTTGCTTCTGCAGGTATAAAAAATAAAAAGTTGCACAAAAAAAATTGTGACTCAATTTTATTTTATTTTTCCCTAGGAGGAAGCGCAGCATCAGTCCCATTCAAGGAGAACAAGGAACTGGAGAGGCTCCGGTTTTAGACCCCTGGAATAACTACTCGTTCTCAGACAGCACAGGAAAAAAGAAGATGAAATTTGATGGTATGGAAGCATGCAAGTCATACTTTCAGTTTCCCCATGAAAGCTAGAAGTAAATTAAGCAATGAGGAGGATAAGTAGTACAGTAGTCCCGTAATACTTCACGGTTCCGACTTTCATGGACTTTTTCGCGGGTTTTAAACGTAACATTGTACACTACACACGATTGGCTGATTGATGGAAGACGACCAACCAGGGCATTATGCTGTCGGGAGCACCAGGACATTTCCCGGTGGCCTGGCCCACTCAGTGATTGCAGAGGAGGACTAAAGGCTCAGTTCAGGTCGTGCATGATTATTTTAAATAAATAATCCGTACCACTCGTGCGGCTCACTCGGGTATAAGACGGACCCCCCGCCGCCCCTTCTTTCTTTTTCCAAGGCTGTCTGTCACAGCAGAGTCTCTGCTCTTCTGTGACAGACAGCCTCAGAAAGAGAAAGGAGGGGCAGGGGGGGTCTCTTCTGCTGTGACAGCCTTGGCAAAAGAAAGGAGGGGTGGGTTGTCTGTCTTACACCTGAGTGAGCCACACGAGCAGCATGGATTGTTTATTTAAAATAATCAAGCGCGACCCGAAAAGATAGTCCCTCTCGATGATCACTGAGCGGGCCAGGCCACCGGGAATTGTCCTGGGGCGATTGGCTCAGTAACTGTAGGCTCTCTTTTGCTGTGCTATTGTAGAGAGTTTAGACCATTAAGAACATTGCAGGAGTGTGGGGTTTATAAAGCCTTAATATATAAATGCTAAAATAAATATAACCTCCCTACTTTGTATATATTCACCTATTGCGGGGGTGTCTGGAACGTAACCCCAGCGATAAGTGAGAGCCTACTGTAAATATAAATATTACAACAAAGAACAAAAGTTTGAGTAAGCTTTGATTGTTTACACCTGAAAATAAGCTTAGCCAGACTTGTACATTTTTGTAGAGTTTTTTTCCCCATGTTTAGAGGTTCATATGAAAAATGTGTTGTGTAAAGATATTACTGTGAATCTTAAGTTTTCTGTTTTTATTTTCTAGATGCAACTGAACAGGCAAATGTTGACGCCATTGAGAGCAAAACCTCAGAGGGGTGGCTAAAGATAACGTATGTATCATTGTTTATCCTCATACTGTTTATCATCCTTCTGCTGTGTTGGAGCATGTCCTAAATGTTGCTGTCTTCTACAGGGAGGCATCACATTCAGCTGAGTCAAGTCCAGCCCTAGGCAAGAAAAGTCCTGAAGGCAAAGATCCAGGCAGTTGTGCTGATGGGACGAGCACCTGGCAACAAACTCCGGTTTCAACAAAAAAAGGTCAAAAGAACAAGAAAAAGAAGTCCGACGGTGTGTTGATCATTTCTTTTTCGCTGAATATCACATCACTAACAGGATGGGCTATTAAGTATAAATGGTAAATGTGGGAAACTATTAGTTGAGCAATTACATTTTTTCAGATGGGGGCATCAAGTAAAAAGTAATTAATTTGTATATCAGTCTTCTGCTCCAGAAAAACCCACATCAACATCTAGACTATAGAAATTGCATTTCCTGTGAAAATGCAGTGTGAATGCATATTGCTGAAGAACTTGCTGAAAAACAACTGAAATTAGCTAAAAACATGCTGGATGTAGCAGAAGATGAAGAACAAGCCTAAGATAGCCGAAAGAACACGTTTGATAAATTAAATTTGAATAAGTAGAAATGATCACAAAAATTAGTAAATTAGCAAAAAAAAAAAATCTGAAAAGGCAGAATGAAGCTTAAACCATCAGGAGAAAGTAGGAGCTGAAATGAGCTTAAAAAAAAAGTGGAATTGGTTGAAAAAGCTAAATTTAGCGCAAAACGGATAAAAAGTAGCTGAAATAGCAGAAACTATGAAAGTAGCATAAGTTACCAAAAATAACTTAAATGTATCTTAAACCACGGGCTGTTAGGTTCCTGTATGACCGGTGTCAGAGCCTGGTCCACATTGCCGGCAGTAAGTCGGGCTTGTTCTCGGTGAGAGTTGGACTCCGCCAAGGTTGCCCTTTGTCACCGATTCTGTTCATAACTTTTATGGACAGAATTTCTAGGCGCAGCCAAGGTGTTGAGGGGATCCGTTTTGGTGGCCTTAGGATTGCATCTCTGCTTTTTGCAGATGATGTGGTCTTATTGGCTTCATCAGATCGTGATCTACAGCTTTCGCTGGAGCGGTTCGCAGCCGAATGCGATGCGGCCAGGATGAAGATCAGTTCCTCCAAATCCAAGGCCATGGTCTTGAGCCGGAAAAGGGTAGAGTGCCCTCTCCGGGTTCTACCCCAAGTGGAGGAGTTTAAGTATCTTGGGGTCTTGTTCACGAATGAGGGAAATATGGAGCGTGAGATCGATAGGCGGATAGGTGCAGCATCTGCAGTGAAGCGGGCGCTCTATAGGTCTGTCGTGGTGAAGAGAGAGCTGAGTCAAAAGGCGAAGCTCTCAATTTACCGATCGATCTACGTTCCCACCCTCATCTATGGTCACGAGCTTTGGGTTGTGACCGAAAGAATGAGATCTCGGATACAAGCGGCCGAAATGAGTTTTCTCCGCAGGGTGTCTGGGCTCTCCCTTAGAGACAGGGTGAGAAGCTCGATCATCCGGGAGGGACTCAGAGTAGAGCCGCTGCTTCTCCACGTCGAGAGGAGCCAGTTGAGGTGGCTTGGGCATCTGTTTAGGATGCCTTCTGGACGCCTCCCTGGTGAGGTGTTCCGGGCACGTCCCACCTGGAGGAGACCCAGAGGAAGACCCAGGACCCGCTGGAGGGACTATGTTTCTCGGCTGGCCTGGGAACGCCTCGGGATTCCCCTGGAAGAGCTGGCCCAAGTGGCTGGGGAGAGGGAAGTCTGGGCCTCCCTACTTAGGCTGCTACCCCCGCGACCCGACCCGGATAAGCAGAAGAAAAAGGATGGATGGTATCTTAAACCAGCTTATATTAGCTGAAAAATGCTAAAATGCTTAAAAAAGTAGTTGAAAGGGTAGAACAAGCTTAAATTAGCAAAAGATAGAACGTTTGCACAATTACCGGTAGACTGAAAGAAGCAGAAGTGAGCAGTAAAAAGTGGAAATTCTGGGGAAAAAGCTCAAATTGGCACACACAAAAAAAATTGAATAGTAGCTAAAAATTTCTGAAAGAAGCTTAAATTACCAGAACAAAATGAAGCACATTTTTGCTGAATTAAACTGGAAAAAGTTGAAATTAGTGCAAAAAATGTGGAATTATCTGAAAAAGCTAAAATAAGCATTAAAAGGACTAAATAGTAGCTGAAATAGCAGAAGAAGCTGAAACTTGTAGAAATTAGCTGAAAGGAGCACAACAAGGTGGAATTGGCAGAAATAAGTTAGAAGCACAAAAATGTTTTAGTTAGCAGAAAGAATCTAAAAGGAGCAAAAGAACAGCTGAAATTTAGCTGAAAAAATATTTAAATTTGCACAAGGCAGCTGAAGCAGAACAGAATGTGAAAGGAGCAGTAAAAGTTTGTAAACGCATCTAAAGATATGAAAAATGAGCTCATTTCATTTTCTATTAGGGAAAAAACCATGGCAGAAAAGGCCAAATATTTCAAAAAGCTAAAGTTGCATCAATACCAAAAGTTATACCAAAAAAAATCTCCTGAAGGAGCTGAACGTTTTGATATTTGCTGAAATGGCACAAACATTGTGGAATGAGAAAGATGCCGAAAAATGGATCACAATCGTGTGAATGCTTCATAAACCCCTGGACTTCTGTTGTGCAATACTGACATTTCATACCCTTAGTCACCTTAACTACCTCATTAATATCCATAATGTGCAATATAATTGTGAAATACTTGTATTTTTTACTTTCATAGTGCTATTATATCTATATTGTGTTACATTTTTTATATTTTTAGTGTGTGTTTTTCTTAAGGCGTGTTTTTGCACTGAAAAGAGGAGTGGCTCTTAATTTCATTGTACTTGCGTATAACAACAATAAAGGCATTCTGATTCTGATGAACGTTCATACTGTTGTATAGCCGTCAGATCACTGGTGTTAGAAACTGACTGGAGGAAGTAGTGGGAAACAGTAAAAATATAACGATGTGATGGTGAGATCTTTATTAAAGATTGTGATTTTGTTTGAATCTTAAATGTCTCTTCCTCTTTCCTCAGCAACTGAATCTGCAGCGTCATTGTTTGAAGTCCCAGAAGTCTGGTAGCGAGAGGTGAGGAGCAGCAAAGCCACAATCTTATCCTGGGCTCGTGCTCTCTTCTTAGCAGTTGGAGCTCTCTCCTTTAGAGTCGCACAGCGCTACGAGATCTACATGCCCCAAATTAATTTGTTCACTCACCGCTGTAGATGCAGTGTCACCAATACCAGCCAACCATTACCAGAGAACACGAGCCATACCAGCTGCCATATTGTGATCAGTTATGAGGAGCAGGCACCTCCTCTTGATTAACACGTACATGAATATCACTTTAGAGCTCAAGTAGGTTTTCACTTATCCATCAATGTGCTCAAACTGGAATCTGCCACCACAGCCATGCAGTCACATTGAATTTAGACTTAAATTTTAATATCTGTAATCACTTTTTTTTTTGTTTTTTTTTTTGAGTGTTTGTGTTCCTGTGAAAATGTTTCATAAAAAGATCAAATGGCACTCGACAGATCCCGTACTGTATGTCAGGGTTATTAAATTTTTTTTATTGCCGTTTAAGTTTTTTGGGATCCTTTTTAAAGATTAAGTTCTCAACTCCTCTAGTTTTATCAAATACATGTGCTTATCAATAATAATACTGTGATATTTATTGTTGGTGGCATTTTCACCCTTCCTGCAAGGTGCTTGTTTTTTGTACAGAACCCTTTTGTGTTTTGGTGTTTTTGTATGCGTCTACCTGCAAAATTGTCTGTAATTCTGTAATGCAAAAGGTGTAAACTTTAAAAATACATTTTCTTTTTTGTATAAGTTTAAAAATGCTTAAATATTTCCTTTTTAAAGGGGAAAATTAAAGAACGTTTCTTAGTAAATTTTGTGCATTTTTTTTTCTCTTCATTGCATTTTACTGAAATCTCGTCCAAGCCCTACAATAGTGTGAATATTTATTAAGCAGTCACTATTGTGATCCATTTTTCTTTTGTTTTTTGGCATTTTACTCGTTCCACAATTTTTGTGCTATTTCAGCACGTATCGAAACGTTCAGCTCTTCCAGGACGATCCTGCGATGACTTGGTATTGGTGCAACTAACTTTTTGAAATATTTAGCCTTTTCTGCCATTTTTTTTTTTTTCTCATAGAAAATCAGTTGAGCTCATTTTACATCCTTCAAATCTTTAGATGTGTCTACAAACTTTTACTGCTCCTTTCACATTTTGTTCTGCTTCAGCTTCTTTCAGCTTCCTCCTGTAAATGTAAACACTTTTTCAGCTAATTTCAGCTGATTAAAAAAAAAAAAAATGTGTTGTGCTACTTTCATATTCTTTCTGCTAACAATATTTTTGTTCTGACTTTTTTTCTGCAAATTTCAGCTACTATGTAGTTGTTTTTATGCACATTTTTGTGTTCTAGCTAATTTTGGCCATTTTAAAATATGGTCAAGTTTTTTGTGGTAATTTCTGCTAAGTAATTTCAGCCTAATTAACTTTCTGATCATTTCAGTTTATGGTTGTTTCAGCCTTATTCTGCTAGTTAGCTTTTTCAGCTAATTCCACCTCTTTCTGGTCGTTTAACTTCTTTCTGCCATTTTAGCTAACTTCAACTTTTTTTGTTTAGCTTATTTCCTAGTGTTTGTGTCAATTTTTGCTTATTTCATTTCAACAAATGTGTTCATTCTTTCTGCTAATTTAGGCTTGTTCTTCCATTTCAGCTACATTTCAACATGCTGCCTTAGCTACTTGTAATTTCAGCTGTTTTTCAGCAAGTTTTGCAATAAGCACACTGCATTTTCACAAGAAATGCAATTTCTCTAGTTGGATATAAAATGCAATTTTAAGTTAAACCACAGATGCTGTAGAACATTTATTTCACAATTAAAATTTTTCAAATTGACAGGTGACTTTAAAAGCTAAAAGGAATTTTTTTTTTTTTTAATTTATGCTTAAATTACAGTGTCTTGCGAAAGTATTCGTCCCCCTTGAACTTTTTAACCTTTTCCCACATTTCAGGCTTCAAACGTAAAGATATAAAATTTTATTTTTTTGTGAAAAATCAACAAGTGGGACACAATCGTGAAGTGGAATGAAATTGATTGGATGTGTCAAACTTTTTTAACAAATAAACTGAAAAGTGGGGCGTGCAATATTATTCGGCCTCCTTGCGTTAATACTTTGTAGCGCCGCCTTTTGCTGCAGTTCCAGCTGCAAGTCTCTTGGGGTATGTCACTATCAGTTTTTGAATGTAAATGGAATTTTTGAGATTTTTCAATCAGGATATAAACAACTGCACAGCACCGAGACAGCTTTAGTAAGGGTCTGTAATGACATTCTGCTAGCGAATGACTCTGGTCAGTCTGTGATCCTGGTACTCCTCGACCTTACCGCTGCATTTGACACTGTTGATCACATCATCCTTATGTCACGGCTAGAACACTGGGTTGGGATTACAGGGGTGGTGCTAGAATGGTTCCGTTCGTATCTGGGTGACAGGAGTTTCTGTGTTAACTTTGACAATCATTTTTCTGCTTCTGTCCCTCTTTCCTGTGGGGTCCCACAAGGCTCCATCCTTGGACCCCTTCTGTTCTCATTGTATCTGCTCCCCTTGGGGTCAATCCTGAGCAAACATGGTATTTCGTTTCACTGTTACGCCGATGACTCTCAGATCTATCTGCCTTTAAAACCAAACAGTTCTTGCTCCATCCTCCCTTTGCTAAAATGTCTTGATGACATCAAGACTTGGATGGCTGCAAACTTCTTGAGTTTTAATGATCAGAAGACTGAGGTCATTGTGTTTAACCCAAGCTCTACCACTGTCACTGATCCTGTAAACCTGCACTCCCTTCAGCCTCATCTAAAGCAGTCGGTTACCGATCTCGGGGTAGTGTTAGACTCGGACTTTAAGTTTAATAAACAGATCAACTCTGTTCTACAAAAAAGCTTCTTTCAGCTAAGGCAAATAGCAAAGCTTAAGTCCGTTCTGTCCAGATCTGACCTTGAAAAACAAGTCCATGCATTTATTACTTCCCGGCTGGACTACTGTAACTCACTTTATGTTGGGGTTAGTCAGGCTTCACTTTCACGTCTCCAGCTCGTACAAAATGCTGCAGCTCGGCTTTTAACAGGAACTCACAGGTTTGAGCACATTACTCCGGTTCTGTCCTCTCTTCACTGGCTTCCTGTACGTGTCAGAGTTGATTTTAAAATTCTCCTGCTGACATTCAAGTGCATTAACGGCCTTGCACCATCATACCTCTCCGACCTTCTTCATCCTTATACTCCTTCTCGGGCTTTGAGATCATCAGACCAGCTGCTTTTGGCCGTACCAAAAACCAGCTGAAGCTCAGAGGAGATCGAGCGTTCTCAGTCGTGGGCCCTAAACTTGGGAACAATCTGCCCATCAACATTCGACAGGCCACCTCAGTCTCTGCTTTTAAATCTCTCCTAAAAACACATTTATACTCATTGACATTTAACACAGGGTGATCAGCTTTAGATCTAGTTTTTCATTGATGCTGATTCTGTTTATGCTTTTGTTATTATTCCTATTTAACACAAGGTCATCTGATCTGATTTAGTATTTCATTGTTTCTAATTGTTTTTGGTTTTATATTTTTATTCCATGTGCTGTAAATATATCTTGCTACTTTTTATCTGATGATGTGATATTTTTGTTAAGCACTTTGGTAACAGTTTCTGTTTTAAATGTGCTCTATAAATAAATCTGACTTGACTTGACTATCAGTTTTGCACATGGAGACACTGAAATTCTTGCCCATTCTTTGTTGCAAAACAGCTCGAGCTCAGTGAGGTTGGATGGAGAGCGTTTGTGAACAGCCGTCTTCAGCTCTTTCCACAGATTCTCAATTGGATTCAGGTCTGGACTTTGACTTGACCATTCCAACACCTGGATACGTTTATTTGTGAACCATTCCATTGTAGATTTGGCTTTATGTTTTGGATCATTGTGTTGTTGGAAGATAAATCTCCGTCCCAGTCTCAGGTCTCTTGCAGACTCAAACAGGTTTTCTTCCAGAATGGTCCTGTATTTGGCCCCATCCATTTTCCCATCAATTCTGACCATCTTCCCTGTCCCTGCTGATGAAAAGCAGGCCCAAACCATGATGCTGCCACCACCATGTTTGACAGTGGGGATGGTGTGTTCAGGGTGATGAGCTGTGTTGCTTTTACATCAAACATATCGTTTTGAATTGTGGCCAAACAGTTTGATTTTGGTTTCATGTGACCAGAGCACCTTCTTCCACATGTTTGGTTTGTCTCCCAGGTGCTTGTGACAAACTTTAAACAACACTTTTTATGGATATCTTTGAGGAATGGCTTTCTTCTTGCCACTCTTCCATAAAGGCCAAATTTGTGCAGCGTATGACTGATTGTTGTCCTATGGACAGACTCTCCCACCTCAGCTGTAGATCTCTGCAGTTCATCCAGAGTGATCATGGGCCTCTTGGCTGCATCTCTGATCAGTCTTCTCCTTGTTCCAAGATGAAAGTTTAGAGGGACGGCCGGGTCTTGGTAGATTTGCAGTGGTCTGATACTCCTTCCATTTCAATATGATTGCTTGCACAGTGCTCCTTGGGATGTTTAAAGCTTGGGAAATCTTTTTGTATTCAAATCCAGCTTTAAACTTCTCCACAACGGTATCTCGGACCTGCCTGGTGTGTTCCTTGGTCTTCATGATGCTCCCTGCGCTTTGAACAGAACCCTGAGACTATCACAGTGCAGGTGCATTTATACGGAGACTTGATTACACACAGGTGGATTCTATTTATCATCATCAGTCATTTGGGACAACATTGGATCATTCATAGATCCTCACTGAACTTCTGGAGTGAGTTTGCTGCACTGAAAGTAAAGGGGCCCAATAATATTACACGCCCCACTTTTCAGTTTTTTGTTTAAAAAGTTTGACACATCCAATAAATTTCATTCCACTTCACGATTGTGTCCCACTTGTTGATTCTTCACAAAATATTAAAATTTTATATCTTTATGTTTTTAAGCCTGAAATGTGGCAAAAGGTTGAAAAGTTCAATGGGACCGAATATTTTCGCAAGGCACTGTAGGTTAAATCGAGATAAATCTAGGTTACACTGTATTTTATTTTTAACCCAGTCACTTAAGTAGAAAGAAATGGATTATTCAAATGACAATGTAGGTCTGAATTGTATTCAAGCCCTTGAGACAAAAACAGTCAGTTGTGTAATGTTTAATTTCTATCACCACAAATTATATTCTGAATATTTTCAGGCAACAACAGACGGGGTTCTGTTATTTCTGTACACCTCATGAGTCCATCTGAAGTTTATTTGTGGATTCCACTTCAAGTGACTCAAGCTGTCCGTGTTGGTAATTTGTTGACTACATTTCCACAGGATTCTTTCAACTCAAATAGGCATAAACCAGGATGGTCGCCATTCGTGCTGCAACAGAAAAAGGAAAAACCTTGTAGTAAAATAATTTTAATACTTTATACAAAGCAACCCCCCACAGTTTACCTAATGTGTCCAGGCAGAAGCACCACCGACAACGTGCCGTCTGGAAGGGAGTTGAAGACTTTTCTCAGCCGGAAGTCCAGTTTTTTCATCATGCGATGCATTTCCTGATCCTACACATGTTGCAAATTGGAAACTTCATAATGTGCTCTAAATAATCAAATATGAAAGGTAAACTACTAAACTGGGAGGGGGAAAAAAAAAACAGATTTAAAAAGTCACAATAAAACAAGACAAAGGATTACAGTAGTCCCTCGCTACTTTGCGGTTCGTTTACCACGGACTGACTATCGCAGTTTTTCAAAATAAGATTGGACATGACACACAATTGGCTGATTGACGGATGAGCCACACGATCAGCATGGAATTTTTATTTAAAATAAATTATTTTAAATTAACACCTGCTGCACCTGTGTGCAGCCCACACTGCAGGATAAACTTCCTGCTGCAGCTGATCAGCTCTTCACCGTGCAGAAAGAAAGTGGGCGGGGCTAAGAGCGCTTGCAGGCTGTGGAGACAGGGAGCTGAAATCATGACATTCTGTGCTCTTAGAGTGTTTAGTTTGAAACATTGTTTAGAATATTACAAGAGTGTGGGAAGGGTTTAAAACGCCTTAATATATATAAATATATAAATACTAAAATAAAATACTACTTACTACTTGTACTACTATTCCTACTTTGCGGTTTTTCAATTATCGCGGGTCTTCAGGGTACAGATCCCCTGAGATAAACGATGGACTACTATAGCTCAAATCCTTTGAAGTGGGGTTCTTCAGAAAGGTTACAATCAACATCTTACCTGATGTAGATCACTCTTTGAACAACCTCAGTTTGGAGAAACAGTTTAATTCTGACATAACTGACGAGCTAACAGCTAATCAGAGTTTCTATAACAACTCTAATATCAACAGTTATAAAATTTTTAGACCCGCATTGTTTTGAGAAGGCTGCAATTCGCTTAGGTCTTGATTCCACTAGGACTACCTATTGGCTCATCAGTCAGGTCCAAAGTAAACTGTTTTTCTTAACTGAGTTGTTCAAAGAGCTATCTACAATATGAAAGGTGTTGTTCATAAATTTTCTAAAGAACCTAACGTTAAAAGGTCCGAGCTATCACTTTAGACCAGAAGTGGACAACACTTTATTCCAAAGGGCCACATCAAGACGTTTAAAGCAATCAAAGGCTGCTTAGAGAACTGGAAAATAAATTATCTTTATGACAAATAATCTAGAAGTCTTTTTTTTTTTTTTTTTTTCAGGCTTTGTCTTGTAGCATAGTTAGCATGCTTTATAAAACGTCTTTCCAATATATTTTAGGAATACAAGACATATTTGGTATTTGGCTCTTATGACAATATATTATACACATTACCTTAGCATGTTATATATGTAGGCCTGTCACGATAACAAATTTTGCTGGCCGATTGTCTCAGAAATTATTGCAATTAACGATAATATTGTTTGAAATTTAACAATAATTAATTATCAAATTTTTGAAGAAATGTTGATTTGTTTGGAGTGTAGTACCTTTTTTGACCATCTGATGGCAGTATAAGACTGTCTGAACCAAAGGATGGATATTTGAGTTGCGTGTCTCTCTAAGAAAAATGGGAGGGAGGGCCCTTGACATGACATGGGCTGACATGGTGATATGGCGGACGCTCGGTGGTTTGAGCTCTTTAGCATAGCATTTTTCACACAACACTTTTAATAAAAAACATCAGTAAACAAGTTCTCAGCTTTTTTTTTTTGCAGAGAAAAACAAGTTTTTAACAAAGGCACGGGTTTCAACTGTGAATTTTGGAGCTTTGACAAGACGGAGGTTTATTCCCGAGGTCGGCCTGTTAGCTTAGCTCGTAGCTTAGCTTCTCAGCTTAGCTGCTTTTAATGATCCAAAAATGTGATTTTGGACAGTTAAAACAGATTTTAAAGAGAAAGGGAGGGGTCAGTGAAGAGCACTGGAGTTGAGCCTTTTGTCATCCAGTGTCTTCAGTGGAAAGAGACACGAAGAAAAAAAAAGCCGGTCAATGAAAATGAGGTCGATAATTTTCATTCATCATGCGATTAACTGATTTATTGTTTATCGCGACAGGCCTAGATACATGTTAGCGGAAATATGCTAAACAAACGTATACATTTGTATTTCTAAGTCTTTAAGGTTCGGTTTAGTTCTGGAAACACATTAACTTAAAAAATGTTTTTTTTTTTAAGTTAGAAGGAAGGAAGATGGAAAGATAAGGAAGATGTTTAATTTAAATTTCCTCAAGCCTTCTTGATAAATTGCTGTTTTTTTATTTAAACTAAAGATATTGGGGGCCTGATGAAATTATCCAAGGGCCACTTTTGGCCCTCGGGCCTTAAGTTTTTCACATCTGCTTTAGACAGACAGCAGCTGATGTTTTGAGCTCTTTCCTGTTGTGCAAACAAAAGTCTAAACCTTCACATCAAAATGCACTCAATCAAAAGTCTGCATGGAGTTCAACAATGTCTGCACAATCTCTGTACCTGTGAACTGTCTGTATATGCTCTTCTCTGTTCCTCAGCTGTGTTCGCATTTTTTCCGTCTGTTGTCATGGAAACCCATGAAGGTAGGTGGGGCGGAGTCACAGATGGGCAAGTAAGGAAATGGTCCTGCAGCAGGTCCTCGGAGGAGCCGAGAGCAGCACGTTTGGCCTCTGGGCTCTTAAACTCTGTCGAGCAGACACAATCGAGTTACAGCCCAACGCAAAATCTAACACTTAGCTCTGAATCGAGAGAAATAAAATAAAACAGATTTAACTCACCTATACATGCATGTCTTGTGTGCTTTTCTGGTTTGCCAGGTGGGATGATGCTCTCCACAGGACCAAAGTGGCCAAACGTCTCTCTGACAGTTTCCTCAGACAGTTTAGATGTGAGATCCACCTCTTTACCTTTTTTTGGTTTACCAGGTGGCAGCCCATTTGCCTTTTTAACACAAGCGACACCGGAACATTTTGCATCTAGTGTGTATCCATTAACCTTTGTTGAAAGGTTTAAACGCTGAGCTGTATGCTGACTCAGTTTTACAACATAAAGGTTGCATGCGTTAGATGGTTCATTCATTAAAGCCTCGAGATTCAGATCCAGGTCCAACATTGATCCGTGCATGGGCCTCTGCACCTGCAATATAAAAAAACACATTAAATGGAGCATAATTATATTGTAAAAGAGAAAAAGTAAAATGTCCCTAATAAATAAAAAATGCTACCTTGATGGGCTGGCCCAGGACACTGAGTCCGTCCAGAACTTTTAAAGCTAGGATTGCTCCTTCCAGCATCTCAAACTCTACCTCTGCATGGACCTAAGAACAAAACGTGAGGAAACAAACTGAAGAAATTAACGCTTGTCCAGAACCTATGAAAATGTGCACAGCTCAACTAGAGTACTAATGAACACCACATATGAAGAAGTTGTAAATATGGTGAATGTTAAAAATTCAAATAATATAAAAACCCTCCAGTGAGACGTACTCTGACACCTGCGTTCAACATTTGGACTTTTCGAACTCGCCCGCAGCGACGAAACAGTCGCTTCACTTCTTTCTCAGAGAAATGTGAATGGAAAGGCCCGGCAAACACGACGCACATATCCCGAAGATTCGCACGCACCTGAAGAATAAATGCAGCATGTCGTCCATTCCTCCAGATTAAAAATAAATGAATAAATGAAGATAATTGCCTCACATTCTGGTGCAACTGCTGATGGTGAGCAAAGCATCTTTTCCGATGGTCTGAGAATGAGGAAAACTGGAGGACGGAGAGGAAGCGGTGCTTAGTCTTCTTCCTGAAAGATGACACCACCTGCAGATGAGAGGACACCGTCCCAAAAATCAAGGAGACGAGGTGAGATAGTTTAGATGAAGATATCAAAGACAAAGAGGAAAAGTGTGATAAAAAATGCTTCTGATTATATTAAGACAGCACTGTGGCAGAACAGCCTGGTACTGGTATGATTATATATATATATATATATATATATTTTTTTTTAAAACAAGTCCTTTTATTAAGTTTTGCTTTTTAGAACACAAACACACACAAAAAATATAAATAAACAAAACACAGAACACACCGGATCCCCTCCTACACCGGATCAGTCACACATACATAAATAATCTATACAGGCACTGATGTTCTTCACAAATGATAGGAAAGGTTGCCAGGTGTCTCAGACTCTTCCTGCAGAACCCTTCAAGGTCTATCTGATTTTGTTTCCAGATGGATATGGTACATGACCTCTCTTATCCAGTGTATATAGGCTGGGGGGTGTGGGTCCTTCCAGTTGCACAAAATCAGCCTCCTAGCCAGAAGAGAGCCAAAGGCAACTACATCCTTCTCGCATTTGCTTAAGGACATATCCACAGGAACCACCCTGAACAGTGAGATTAGTGGTGATGGGAGCACAGTTTTGCCACATATCCCAGAGAGGGCATCAAAAATAGATTGCCAAAAGGTCTGCAGTCAGGGACAGGTCCAGAATGTATGCAGGAGTGTAGCTGGAGATTGTTTACAATGATTGCATGCAGGGTCCAGGTCGGCTTTGATCTTGGACAGCTTGTCTTTGGACCAGTGCAGCCTGTGCACTACCTTGAATTACAGCGCGTCTCAGACTGAGGATGAGTAAATGTTCCTAATGATCTTTTGACAGATTGAGTCTGATATGAGTTCCTCCAAGTCCGTTTCCCGTTTCAGTTTAAGGGAGTCCAAACTGGACTCGTGTTATGAACTGAGCAGTGTATACATCTTGCTAAGGGCCTCCTTGGTAGATATCATTTTATCTTTAAATGATTACTGAAAATCACTTTACAAACTGAACCCCAGCGCCACTCCTAATTGCCAGTTATCAATCCTGCTCATGGCCAAACTAAGATTACTCATCAATACTAGATCTGCTGATGTCTAACAAACAGACATCACAGAATCTGTTTCAAAATGAAACCGGAGTGAAGAGGACTACAGAAAATAAAAGCTCCTGTTTTAAAAAACCCACACGGTGTAACGCCTCACCTCTTTGTCAGAGTTGAGCCACTGCTGGTTGGACAGGTCCAGAGTGACGTCAGAACACTTCCCTATGAAGATGACAAACCTACCAAGTGTCTGCAGGACATCAGTAAACCTGTGGGGAAAACATCAGAAATACCCCCGTTGAAGATGTGATGATGTGAGTTTCACTCAAATCTGTCCAGCAGTTCCTGAAATATTTTGCTAACAGGCAGTGCTGCCTGTAACTGTTAACGCCAAAGTTTTAGGCAAAGATGTTGATCAACGTGTAACGCTCAGGCTAAGTGATGTGAATGACTCTCGGCTATGACCACTAGAAAATTTAGCACACCTGTGCAAATGACTGAGTTATAGCCGATTTTACGTTTCAAGGTCACTCAGCTGTGGCAGCCATCTTGAAAAAGATAAAATTTAAAAAGTAATATGTTTAGGTGCTCATTCATTAATTATCTTCTGAACGTTTCAATAAAATCCATCTGGTGGTGTAGAATAGGGGTTCTCAAACATTTTGGAGAAAAAGTTTCAGGGACCACCTCATAACCCTCATGTTTATTAAATAATTTTCTTCCATTTGTCTCTTTAATGCGATGGAAATATTTGTGTAACATAAATACTGAAGACCTGTTCTTTAATATTGTTAATGAAATTTTTATACTTTTAAACATGGTGTATTTTTCATTCGAGACACACTTAATTAACAAAATTTTTAATTTCAACTTCCAAAAATTAGTTTTGAGAAAATTAACAGAATTAAAAACCATTTTACAACTTTACCTATTCAATTAATGAACATAATAAATGTATTACCACTTCTTTAAGTTATTACAGAAAACTCTTTACATTAAACTGCACAGAATCAGAACAGCAGCAGTCAGACCAAGTAACAGCTTCATTTGTAAAATGATCGATGTCAGAATGCAAACAGTGGGTGGGCCCGGGGTGGGGTGGTGAGGGGTGGGGTGGTGAGGGGTGGTGAGGGGTGGGGTGGTGAGGGGAGAAGGGGTTCTCTGCAGACCAAAAGTGGGTGTTTCTAAAGAATAGGCGTTTGTAGAGGGCAAACACTGACTGGCAGCTGTATTTTCTGTCTCTTTAGGTAAATTACGTCAGCTCTTTTTTTTTTTTAACTGAAGGTTTCTAAGAAACAGCGTTATATCTGCTGTCAAACACAAGAAGAGTCTCTTTTGTTCTTGGTTGTAGCTGCACCTGACACAGGTTGGCTTGAGTGTGGTCTGGGTACAATGAAATATGAAGCATCTGAAGCAAAACCTGCTCCCATTTGTCAAAAAGTCTGGTCTCAATTAAACATCATGAGTCCTGTAACGAGAAAACGGCCCAAAACAAAAGCTAAAAATAAAATTTGCTCTGTAGAAGTTCTTCTATGATCTGATCTATGAAAGGAGTTAAAACATGGAGTAGGATTAACACAAAATGTGAGACAACTGAGGAAGTTAAGCAGTAAACAGAAATATCTGCTCCAGTTGCAGAAATCTTACAGAAACTGACGATCACTCGTCTGCAGTGACTGATTTAAAAGGTCGAACAAGAAAATGTGACGTTAAAGGAAACATCCTTTGTCCTAAAGCCAGTTTAAGTATCATTATTATTTTGGTTACTTTATTTTTCTTTCTTTATGAATTGATTTGAACTATTTTCACATTATTCAACAACCCAAACAGATTTTGTTGTTTTATATAATGGCTAGGTATTAAAAAACAAACATTTAGCTCTCCCCACTAACCATTTATGTTGCTCTTATTTTGAAATGTAACCGAAAGTTCTGTGTTAAGAGAGGCGGAAAGAGAAGTTATGGAGATGTTGCTAATGTCGAACCGGTTAACACCATGGACATAATATCTCTGCGGTTAACACAATCTGCCAATAATGCTTTGTTTTTGTTGTCCAATCAGATGTGGCCCTTCCAGATATACCTTTTGTATTTGTCTGCAGAGATACCTACTTGGGTGAGGGGGGTCCAGAAAATTTTGAATAAAGTAGATGTGATTTCCTGCATTTTGGTGTATTTTAACGGGTTTTTCAACATCTATGTGCTTGTAAATAAATAAATAAAATAAAATAAAAAAAATTTGTGTTTGTTTTGCGGACCCCCAAGCACTGGTTCGTGGATCCCCAGGGGTCCAGGGACCCCAGTTTGAGAACCACTGATTTAGAAGATGTTTTTCTAATGTTACAGACGAAAACTGTGAGGATGAGAAGCGACATAACTTACACGATCAAAAGCCATTTTGACTATAAAACATTAAGAACTGCTTGTTCTGTAGAGTCAGAACTTCCTGTAAATGTAAACGTCGTACCTGTGACTTGGTGTTGGTGCAGACGTGCACTCAGAGGACACCTCCTCTAGTTCGTATCCCCACAGCTCCTCCAGATGAAGCTCCACAACCTGACAGCCAGGAAAAAGAAAGCGTTTGCTCATTCTGTGCGTGGGTGCGAGTCTTAAAAAAGCTGTTTCCTACCTGATGAGGTCCGGTTTTGATAAAGTACTGAGCCAGCTCCAGAGTGGCCACAGCGTCCTCGGTGGAATCGTGACCTCTGGTCTCTTCAGTTTGGATTTGCCTCCTAGGAAGTGAGTAATAAATTAAACTGATGACTCTAAAAAGAAGGAAATACAAACGAAACTAACTCACTTCAACACCCTCTCTGTCAAAACCTTGAGCTTAAACCTCTGCCCAAATTCTCTCCTGTACAGCAACGATGTGTCGATTACATGTTGGTGAATGAGCTGGTAAAAAACACACAAAATATACAAAAACAATTAAATCACAAGCAGTTTTTGTGCTTACACAACCCTGATGTCTGCTTATAATTGATCTGAGGTGTGAAGCTAAAATAAATTTAATACTGTGGACAGAAATGTCTAAATTATTTGAGTTGGAGCATCAAACTAACTTTCAACAGAATCATATTCATAAAACCTGAAAACTAGCTTTTTGCCAGCAATGACAACAAAACAGCTGAGAGACCGCTTCGATTTTATTAGACGTTAAACCATTGAAATAGTCAAATGTGTACAAAAACACTGAAGTAAACTTAAAGAGAAGCAGTTTGTTCAAGTTACTAACTTTCAGTGCAACGAGGTCATTGTTGAGCGAATGGCCCACCAACACGGCGTTGCCTGGCAACAGCATCATGAGCTTGGCTTGAACGTCCTTCAGGGTGGTTGTGATTGGTTGCAGCATGGCTGCAGTGATGCCTGAGAACCTGTCAGGAAGAATACACACATTAATGTTTGATCCCCGTGAGTCAACAGGATGGAAAAAAATGTGCTTTGACCTTTAATTGTTCTATATGAACAGTAAATTACTTTACTCCACCAGTCAAACACTGTAACTACATGTTTCAGTTCATCAGTCTGTGAGGCTTCACGGACATTTTTACCAACAGAAGAGAGACAGTGGGAGAGAAAGTGTGCGTGTGTGTGTACTTGGTAAGGTAGTTGAGAATACGGCTTTGTGGTTTCACCAGTTCGTCCAACACACAGTTCCCATCTCCATCCACCAGAGAGACACGAGTCAACTCATACCCGTTTACTGTTAGACACTAAAAACACAAAGACAAACTGTTTGGAGCAGCTGAACGAAGACACACGCAGAAAGATGCTGAAACACATGAAAACACCCTGAAACATGTTGAGGCATACTTCTTATATTTTAACGCGTGAAAGACAATTCAGCATTTTGATACACTTAGCTTAGCTTTTAGCAACAATTTTGCTACTTCTTGATGTTTTATTGTTTTTTTTTTAACTACAGTTCTGCACATTGAGGCTTTTAGCTGCAGTTTTACTTATTTTATGTCATAGTCCATTTTATTTCTATAGCACATACAAACAATGGAAGTTGACCCAAGTGCTTTACAAATGAGTCAAACAAAAGATAAAAGCAAAGCAACAAGAATTATTAAAAGAGCAAGTAACACTAACATAAAATACAGAAGAACACTATAAAACAAATCAAACAGGGAAAAACGATGGTTCGAATATGAATTTGGCCGGAACACAAATAGTGGGCGAAGGTGTGTGTGTGTGTGGGGGGGGGGGTTCTGTGGGTTCTCCCCCAGAAATTTTTGAATAACAGAGATGCCATTTCCTGCATTTTGGTGTATTTTAACGTGTTGTTAAACATCTGTTTACCTACATTTGTAAACACTTGATTAAATTGATTAAAAACAGGTTTCTGTTGTAAATGAGTCCTCGAGGCTCAATGAGACTAACAACCTGTGTAAATAAAGGTTGAATTGAAATGACCTTTTTAGAGCGTAAGAAGAAAAGACCGTGTGAATAGAGTAGCTCCAATTCTGTCAAGCAAAATCCTTTAGACTCGGCGTTCACACGGCGTTTTCACAGAATATGCAAATTCTAGTGCATAAAACTTTAGAGTTTATTAGTGAGCGCTGACAGTTCTACTTGAATTAAACAAGCTTTGATCCTGGAAACTGAAATGGTTTTGATCTATAGCTGGAGAATATATATTAACATTTAACATAAAAATTTACAACTGCTGCTTTAAACTCAGACAGCTGGAGCACAAAATGACCACATTTCCTCACTCTGCTGCTCTCTTTACTTGCTCTCCTCTACTGGATTGTATTTGTAATTATTTATATCTTTAACATGTTTTTCTTTTTGTCTTTCTTCCAATAAAAGTTCACCTGGACTTGTCATTCTTTGTTTCTCCTTCCTGTCCTCTCAAACCCAGCCAGTCGAAGCAGACCATCCTGAGTCTGGCTCTGCTAGAGGGTTCTTCCTGTTAAAACGGAGTTTTTCCTTTCCACTGTTGCCTTTGCGCTTGCTCAGGACGGGAGACTGAGATGAAGTGCAGACTCAGCACAATCTGCTGGCTTCCTTAGATAGAGAACTTTTACAAGTGGCTTTTGTATGTATGTGAATGTTTCTGTTCAGTGCCCTGAGACGACTTCTGTTGTGACTTGGCGCTATATAAATAAATGGAATTGAATATAAATTAATTGAATTTAATTGAATTTCACACACTGCAGCACAGACAAGTTTCAACCACTGCAGCAGCTGTAAACACAAAGTTCAAGGATGTGCAAAAAAATACACAAGTAGATGCTTCCAATTTACAGTAAGGCCCATTGTAATATTAAAATATTAAAAAAATCTGAACAAAGTTAAAAGGATTTTACACACAATGTCTAAATCAACACCTTTTTAAGTCTGAGATAATTAAACCTGCGTCCGCACAAGTATACTGCTTGTTATACAGAAACATGATTCTCCACAAAAAGCTACCAGTAACTCAAGTCATCTCACCATTTCACAGTCCAGTCCGTAGAGAGGGCTGTCATCAGTGACATGAACATTCACTGTGCACCTGAAGTCCTCAAAGCCTGGCATTCCTGTGTCGAATCAAAGTAAAAACCATGTCCAAGCTCACTGATCAAAATCTGAAAAGACATTTTGTTCTCCAGGGTGGATACATGGACAAACATTCAAGCATTTCAATAAAACAATGACATCCTGGAGACACTGTTGGTGACAGAAAGGAATCTTGTACACGTGTTGCCTCTACGCTCAGATAGGGTTTCCTTACTAAGGTCTCCTAACAAAGCATCTATTATCTGTAATAACAAACTGTTATTCTTTCCCTTTATTTTTTCTTATTCTTTTCTTGAAGCCAGTTGTAAAACATATTTAACACATCGCTTCATAAACCATGCTCAGCAGTAACTTATTCACAGTCGCATATTTTTCGGACTATAAGGCGCATTAAGCGAAATAAAACAGTCAGATAAGTCAAACTTTATTCAACTCATTCACAATAATCACATAAAATAGGTTCGAGGTCAGTAAGCACAACCAGAATTAATACATAGTGCGCACCTGATTATAAGGCTCACTGTCGATTTTTGAGAAAATGAAAGGATTTTCATAAGGAAGTGTGCCTTATAGTCTGAAAAATACAGTAACTAAACATTGTATGTTTTTCATTAAAATAATAACTCCAAATAAACTTCCATCACCTTTGACAGGGTAGTGGTTCATAATCATCTCTTCTGTGGTGAGAATGTAAGCGGTTAACCCTCTCCTCTGCGGCCCATATGCTGTGATAACTGGGTGCTCCGTCAGTGCTGCAGCAGTGCACAAAAACATACAAGAAAACACAAGAAAACACAAAAACACATGCCAGAAATTAGTTTTGATTCTATGACTTGACATTCAAGTGACAAATGTACATAAAAACCTTGTTTTAATATACATATATACACATATACATATGTATATACATATGTATATGTGTATATA